AAAAAAACTGGAAGCATGCAAAATTTGACATTTCTGATATTCAAATTTTGTTTCTGACTATGGTTTTTAAAAATTCAGCCAAAACTGTACAGTATCGTAATTAAACAACATATTGATGAATAGATGGCTGCGGAACTCGCTGCGCTCGTCCCGCAGAGGTCCACCGATAAGTTCCGCAACAATTTACTCATTTGTACTTGAATAACTTGTCACAATATATTACTAGTTTGGTGAAGTAACATTACTAATTCCTGTTGGAAGGCGAATTGACAAAAAGTAGATAATCTTACAAATTTTGACATTATATAATAAGTTATTGTTCAAGTACAAATAAGTGGGTTATTGCGGAACTTATGGGTGGACCTCTGCGGGACGAGCGCAGCGAGTTCCGCAGCCATCTATTCACCAATATACTGCTAAACTGTTCAAGTAAGACATTCACCTGAACCATGTAGTTTTTAAACTAATGAGAATAACTCACATTTGAGTGAGTCACATTAATATCGTAATTAAACAACATATTGATGAATAGATGGCTGCGGAACTCGCTGCGCTCGTCCCGCAGAGGTCCACCGATAAGTTCCGCAACAATTTACTCATTTGTACTTGAATAACTTGTCACAATATATTACTAGTTTGGTGAAGTAACATTACTAATTCCTGTTGGAAGGCGAATTGACAAAAAGTAGATAATCTTACAAATTTTGACATTATATAATAAGTTATTGTTCAAGTACAAATAAGTGGGTTATTGCGGAACTTATGGGTGGACCTCTGCGGGACGAGCGCAGCGAGTTCCGCAGCCATCTATTCACCAATATACTGCTAAACTGTTCAAGTAAGACATTCACCTGAACCATGTAGTTTTTAAACTAATGAGAATAACTCACATTTGAGTGAGTCACATTAATATCGTAATTAAACAACATATTGATGAATAGATGGCTGCGGAACTCGCTGCGCTCGTCCCGCAGAGGTCCACCGATAAGTTCCGCAACAATTTACTTATTTGTACTTGAATAACTTGTCACAATATATTACTAGTTTGGTGAAGTAACATTACTAATTCCTGTTGGAAGGCGAATTGACAAAAAGTAGATAATCTTACAAATTTTGACATTATATAATAAGTTATTGTTCAAGTACAAATAAGTGGGTTATTGCGGAACTTATGGGTGGACCTCTGCGGGACGAGCGCAGCGAGTTCCGCAGCCATCTATTCACCAATATACTGCTAAACTGTTCAAGTAAGACATTCACCTGAACCATGTAGTTTTTAAACTAATGAGAATAACTCACATTTGAGTGAGTCACATTAATATCGTAATTAAACAACATATTGATGAATAGATGGCTGCGGAACTCGCTGCGCTCGTCCCGCAGAGGTCCACCCATAAGTTCCGCAACAATTTACTCACTTGTACTTGAATAACTTGTCACAATATATTACTAGTTTGATTAGTAACATTACTAATTCCTATTGAAAGGCGAACACCACACAATTCCCAACATCTCCGACACACTAGACAAACTTGGCAGAAGTTAATATTTCACAACCCTCGATTTGGCTTCAGGGTTCCATCAGATCGAAATGGATCCAAATTCTATTTCAAAAACAGCCAAAATGGACATTTCAAATATATCAGAATGCCATTTGGTCTAAAAAATGCACCGGCAACCTTCCAAAGGGTCATGGATAAAGTCCTCAAAGATCTTCAAGGAAAAATATGTCTTCGATATTGGAACAGAATTTAAGAATGGACTTATGCACACTGTTGCCAGATCATATTTTGTTTTGTCAGTAGATTACCAGTCTAAATATTAGTATAAATCAGTAGACAGATAAGTTGCCTTGTTAAGGGCCAAATTATGGACCAACTGGTAAGTGTCTGATTGTTACCTAGCAGGTACTTTCTATTCTCTAGTGTATAGAAAGTACCTGCTAGGTAACAACCAGATCTTACCAGTTGGTCCATAATTTGGCCCTTAAGGGGTAAACCATCGGGGATTCAAGAATATACAATGAAATATAGGGCATCCCATTTGAAAAAAGTTGGAAGCATGCAAAATTTGACATTTCTGACATTCAAATTTTGTTTCTGACTATGGTTTCTAAAAATACAGCCAAAACTGTACAACTTTTGTATTTACACCTTTTTTCTACCTGTAAAGGTAAAGGAGGTAGGTGAAGTGTCCATATATAAAAAAAACAACTTATACAAATAAGTTGATTATTGCGGAACTTATGGGTGAACCTCTGCGGGACGAGCGCAACGAGTTTCGCAGCCATCTACTCACCAATATCCTGTTGAATTGTTCAAATAAGACATTCACCTGAAACATGTAGTTTTTAAACTAATGAGAATAACTCAAATTTGAGTGAGTCAGGTTAGTATCGTAATTAAACAACATATTGATGAATAGATGGCTGCGGAACTCGCTGCGCTCGTCCCGCAGAGGTCCACCCATAAGTTCCGCAACAATTCACTCATTTGTACTTGAATAACTTGTTACAGTATGTTACTAGTTTGGTAAAATAACATTACTAATTTCTGTTGAAAGGCGAACACCACACAATTCCCAACATCTCCGATACACTAGACAAACTTGGCAGAAGTCAATATTTCACAACCCTCGATTTGACTTTAAAGTTCCATCAGATCGAAATGGATCCAAATTCTATTTCAAAAACAACCAAAATGGACATTTCGAATATATCAGAATACCATTTGATCTAAAAAATACACCGGCAACCTTCCAAAGGGTCATGGATAATATCTTCAAAGATCTTCAAGGAAAAATATGTCTCCGATATTGGAACAGAATTTAAGAATGGACTTATACATTATACAGGAATTTGTAGATACATAAAAGATATCCATCCATTATACTACCCCTGATAACCCACAATCCAACGGGATGATAGAAAGATTCCACTCCACCATTAGCGAACACCTGAGAATACTTCGAGAAAATAAAAAATCCTTAAGTTTTAAAGAACAAATGCCATATGTACTTCTCGGATATAATAATTTTATTCATTCAATAAGAAACATGCGACCAATGGATATATCGACTGATGGTCACCACGCATCCAAGTGATAATTGATGACCTGAAAATAAATGTGGTCCTGGGACAAAAATAAAAATTTGGAAATTTACACGCAACTCTCCGATATGTCAATGCGAATTTGGAATTAATGGTTGGTAACATATTTGGTTCTAAAAATTTTAAAAATACTATCAGAGAATCAAGTTCCTAACTCAAATTTTACCTGCAGCTTTAACCTGTACAGGTAGAATGGTTCACAACTTAGAGCGCCGAATATATGAGAGACTGTTCAATCAAATATAGACAAACTATATATTTTTGGAATCGGAGCATTGTGCTCTTCAAGAATATAGAATGAAATATAGGGCATCACATTTGAAAAAAGCTGGAAGCATGCAAAATTTGACATTTCTGACATTCAAATTTTGTTGTTGTTCTAAAAATTAAGCCAAAACTGTACAACTTTTGTATTTACACCTTTTTTCTACCTGTAAAGGTAAAGGAGGTAGGTGAAGTGTCAATTTATAAAAAAATACCCTATACAAATAAGTGGATTATTGCGGAACTTATGGGTGAACTTCTGCGGGACGAGCGCAGCGAGTTCCGCAGCCATCTACTCACCAATATACTGTTAACTGTTCAAGTAAGACATTTACCTAAACCATGTAGTTTTTAAACTAATGAGAATAACTCACATTCGAGTGAGTCAGGTTAGTATCGTAATTAAACAACATATTGATGAATAAATGGCTGCGGAACTCGCTGCGCTCGTCCCGCAGAGGTCCACCCATAAGTTCCGCAACAATTCACTCATTTGTACTTGAATAACTTGTTACATTATGTTACTAATTTAGTAAAGTAACATTACTAATTCCTGTTGGAAGGCAAACATCACACAATTCCCAACATCTCCGACACACTAGACAAACTTGGAAGAAGTCAATATTTCACAACCCTCGATTTGGCTTCAGGGTTCCATCAGATCGAAATGGATCCAAATTCTATTTCAAAAACAACCAAAATGGACATTTCGAATATATCAGAATACCATTTGGTCTAAAAAATGCACCGGCAACCTTCCAAAAGGTCATGGATAATGTTCTCAAAAATCTTCAAGAAAAAATATGTCTCCGATATTGCAACAGAATTTAAGAATGGACTTTACAATACAGGAATTTGTAGATACATTTATCCATTATACTACCCCTGACAACCCACAATCCAACGGGATGATAGAAAGATTCCACTTCACCATTATCGACCACCTGAGAATACTTCGAAAAAATAAAAAATCCTTAAGTTTCAAAGAGCAAATGCCATATGCACCTCTCGGATATAATAATTCTATTTATCCAATGAGAAACATGCGACCAATTGATATATTGACTGATGGTCACCATGCATCCAAGTGATAATTGATAAGAGAAATTCTGACCTGAAAATAAATGTAGTCCTGGGAAAAAAATAAAGAATTGAAAATTTACAGGCAACAACCAATAAGATCTTATTTTTTCAGGTCCCCGATATGTCAATGCGAATTTGGAATTCATGGTTACTAGAATTCGCCTGGGGCATTTTTCAGCCCTAAAGGCGCTTTTTAAACAAAACATCAAAACCATAAACATGTAAATTGATCATCAGTGAGGCAAAAATAAAAACATAATCAAACCCCCTTCGACTTTGTGGAGTCCTAATTAACATTTTAATTACTTATGATAAATAGTTTGTTACAAATTGCCTTTTCCTTTCAATTTGCCCGGCGTTCTTCTCTGACATATTTTATGGGGCCTTAATTACGCTTAAAACATGGAATTATTTGACAGATTTATTTTTATTTTCTACAATAATTAAGGGGCCCCTTGTTCTATCAAAATTAATCATCGTTATAAGAAACATGAAACATGGAAATAATCTATTAAACATGTAAGGACATTTAACAAATTAAATGATTATTTAATTATTAGACCAAGGGTTTTAGTATTTAGTAGTTTGTCTTTGAAGAATGTTTTTGCCTCAAGTAATTTTTCTTTTATTGTATTCTGCAATTATTGCAGTAGGTCAAAACAATTATGATTATGAAGCCGAAGTTGGTATGAATACTGTAAGTATTTGAATAATTATTTTCAATATTCTTTTGACTGAGTTTTTTGCAGCCTCAAATCTTTAGTCACAGAAAAATAGCTTACAAAACTTATCAGGTAACTACACAAGATGGCTACATACTCTCCTTATTTCAATTGCCTAGAAAAGAAAGGAGAGGAGTTGTTGTGTTGCAGCACTCTTTGAGTTTGGACTCTTCAGTGTTTTTGGTCAGCCAAAAACGATCAATTGGTAAGCAAAATTTGAAACGAAACATACAAACTGGCATTTAATGTTGAAAATGATGAACACTACATGAATTTAACAGGATACCTTTTGGATCAAAGAACGCCCCAGCAACTTTCCAAAGAGTAATTCGTTGGAAAATTTCTCTAGAGGGAATCAACAGCCTGTAATTGTTCAAATTTTATGATTGTCTAAATGTAACCGAATGCCCTTTGGATTCAAGAACGCTCCAGCAACTTTCCAAAGAGTGATCGTTAAATAATTTCTCTAGAATCAAGAGCCTATGATTGTTCAAATCTTGAATATTACCGGCATTTGATTGGCTGGATAATATTCTACAAGACGTCTTCTCATGGGTCTTCCACGTGGCCTGTAATTGTTAAAATTTTGTGATTGTCTAAATGTAACCGAATGCCCTTTGGATTCAAGAACGCTCCAGCAACTTTCCAAAGAGTGATCGTTAAAAAATTTCTCTAGAAACAAGAGCCTATGATTGTTCAAATCTTGAATATTACCGGCAAAAGGTCTCACAGCTCCCCGGGGGGAGGGGGGGGGGCTGTGAGACCTTGTTATCAAACTTATGGACATACAAGAACAAAATCTTTACATTTTCCAGCTATGGAAATCTACAATTCCGGCTACGAAGTCTGGCTACCCAACTTCAGAGGCCTACCATTATCAGACCAGCACATAAAGCCTGACATTGAAAAACTCACATACTGGGATTTTAGTTTCCACGAAATCGGCCTATACGATTTTCCAGCCATTTTGAAACTTATCGTCAACGTAACTGGGGAAAAAGTTATTGTTATTAATCATTCACTAAGTTCCACTGCTAGCTTGGTTTACGCTGCCGTCAAGCCTCAAGAAGCTGAGGCAATGGTTAAGGTTTTCGTTAATATGGCTGCTTCAGCTTTTATGAATCATACCCAGACGCCTTTTAGACATTTCATTGGATTACAATTCAATGTTTTAAAGGTAACAATTATGACGTCACATACACATAACCTTAATGGATCTTTTTCAGCCTATTATGGAATCTTTGAATATTGGAGCAGTTGGGTACGATTTCTTAGCTTCATTGCAACTATTGAAGCAATTGGCCTTGCAAATGCTTCCCAGACGTGCATTTAAATCATTTATTGAATCATTTTTGGGGTTTCTATTTGGTAAAACCAGCATGGGAATAGATGATGAAGAATTTCCTTTAGTTGTTTCGGTAGCAGTTCAAACTGTATCCAATAAGATTACTTATCATTATTGTCAACTGATGCAATCTGGTAGATTTTGCATGTACGATTATGGCCAACAAGAAAATTTAAAAAGATACAATTCTAGTCAACCTCCAGATTATCCTTTAATGAACATTACAACCCCTATATTTTTGGTTATTTCTGATTCAGACACCATGTCTGATGCTTGGGTAACTAATGCAAGCCTTTAATATATTAAATATTTATTAAATAATTAATTTTTTGTAGGGTTCAAATTTGCTTTACAATAACCTACCTCAAGCAGCAAAAATATACGGAAAATTAAACATCAAAAACGTCAATCATGCTGATTACTTGATAGGCAAAGACAGATTTGTCTATTTCAAAAGAGTTTTGAATTTTATAAAGACTATTTAATGTAAATACATAAATATAATCGATAATAATTCATGCATTATTTATTTATGCAAAGCAGTTTTTAATGGTGGATGTCTTGTGTCGCCTTGTATAGGCCGTTGCAACAAATTTTATCAAAAGCTCCTCTAACCTACTTATTGTGTATAACAAATGGGTTTTAGATAAGAAGGCGCTTGCATAAATAACAATCGTAGACAGCTACGTTTGAATATAGAATTCCTGTGCTGTGCTGACTTTGGGGTAAATAATTTCTACCCCCGTTTTCGATTCGAAAAGGGGAATAAATCGCTGAAAAATGAAACAAACAACGTCGTAAATTATCTGGAAATAAGATGGAAATTCGAAGGCCGAATATTGACCAATTGGATTTTTGATGCTAAGACTTGGAAGTTGAAATTGTGATTATTATCGGCTCTTGATTTGCGTAAGTGAATGTTTTTCCAGGAGGATCAAGAATTTTCTGCTAGACTTGCATTATTCAAACTTTGAATTCTAGATATATAAATGTGAGTCCATCTTAATATAAATGAAAAATGGATTGGTCTATTTTCACAATCCTCATGTATTTGGCTTCTAGTTGGAGACATCTGTTGTTGAAGTTGTTACTTACTCACAGGCCTAATTTTGAAGTTCAATTGTCCACTCAAACAAAAACTTTCCGGCTTTGAAATGCTCTTATGCTGTTCTTTAATGTTGACTTTACTTGTATGCCTTTTGGATTGAAAAATGCCCCTGCGACATTCCAAAAAGACACATCTGTCTCTAATTACCTACCTCTGACTCCTAATCTTGTTTTTACCCCATATATTGAAAAAAATCCTCCATCCTTGCATTACTCGTATGGCTTTTGGATTAAAAAATTCTCCTGTGACATTTCAAAAAGATACATATGTCTCCAATTACCTACCTCTGACTCTTGAATCTTGTTTTTACCTCATATATTAAAAAAGAAATCGTTCCTCCTTACACTACTCGAATGCCTTTTGGATTAAAAAATTACCCCGCGTCATTTCAAAAAGACACATCTGTTTTTAATTACCTTCCTCTGACTCTTAATCTTGTTTTTATCCCATATATTAAAAAAAAATCCTTCCTCCTTAAACTACTCGCATGCCATTTGGATTAAAAAATGCCCCTGCCACATTTCAAAAAGACACATCTGTCTCTAATTACCTTCCTCTGACTCTTAATCTTGTTTTTACCCCATATATTTTTTAAAAAAATCCTTTCTCCTTGCATTACTCGCATGCCTTTCGGATTAAAAAATGCTCCCGCGACATTTCAAAAAGAGACAACTGTCTCTCATTACCTTCCTTTGACTCCTAATCTTGTTTTCACCCCATATATTAAAAAAGAAATCCTTCCTCCTTGCACTACTCGCATGCCTTTTGGACTAAAAAATGCCCCTGCGACATTTCAAAAAAAAACATCTATCTCTAATTACCTTCCTCTGACTCTTAATCTTGCTTTTACCCCATATATTAATAAATAAATCCTTCCTCCTTGCACTACTCGCATGCCTTTCGGATTAAAAAATGTCCCTGCGCTATTTCAAAAAGACACATCTGTCTCTAATTACCTTCCTCTGACTCTTAATCTTGCTTTTACCCCATATATTAAAAAAGAAATCCTCCTTGCACTCGTTCCTATACAAGACAAAGTTTTTTCCTAGCAACAAAACGAAATTAAATCGAGCATATAAGCTTTACCCCTAGAGCCTCTATATCGAGAACTTAGCCAAAAGCATTTCCGAACCGCTTTGCAATCAATCAGGCGCCTTTGCTTATACGTCCTGTCTGCCTTTAGATACTATAGAGGATAAAATTGGATGCCTGTAAAGTTTAAACTCCACAAGGTGAATTTTAAATGAAAAATTCCCCAGGAGTTTTTTGCGGGAAGATCAACAACACACACAGTCTCAGGTGACGTCGCAAGCGGTCTATCGGATTAAAGGAATATTTCCAGGGAGGGGGGATTAACCACCAACCCCTAAAAGTCGATATAAAAGTGGACGTGACGAAAATCTTGAAGATAGAATTTGCTCCAGCGACGTATGATTGATGGAATTAGGGGGGAGAAACACAACTGTGCGGTAATGAATACAAAAGACAAAACTAAAAGTTCCTTTTCATCAAAATTGTGCAGGCCTTATTCATGGCACGCCTGGGTTAAATTCTTTAACTTTTCCTTATTAAATTCCTAAAGGCCAAATTAAGGATTATCTGATGATGGAGCAGAACTTATTATTATTGAACTTTTATTATTAGGAAATATTTTATAGATAAATTCCCCTTTTTTAAGGCTAATTGAGTTGTTCGTATGAGTGTGCGTGTCTAGGAATACTTATCTAGGGGGTGAATTTTTAACTGTAAGTGGCGCCATTTAAATTACTTTTTGCCACGTTATATACGAAATTTCTTCATTAAAAAATAGTTCAATCTTTTATTCAAAATACGTCTTGGAATTTTAAATGCTCAATTGTTTACGAGATAGAAAATGTATAGCTCTTAATTCATTATCTGGGGTCCTTATCTACTTGGGCAAGGCGCGAAGCCGGTCTATAAAGCAACTGATTGATTGCCAACTCACTCAGAAGGGCTTTGAACGGCTCTATCTCTCTGTATATATATATATATATATATATATATATATATAGAGGAGGTGCTCTAATGCAGAATTGGATTCGATTAAATGGGTGGTTTATTTCCTCTTTGGAGCCCGGAAGGAAATTGGAATTTAACTTTTGGTTAAAGAATGTTAATTGGAAAAAACCTCATATGAATGTAACAAATTGCAGCAGTCAAGATATGTCATATATTTTGCAAATAAGTCCTTTAAATATTCATGAATCGGCGTATGTAGATTGAAATCAAGGAAGACCATCCATCATTTACCCTTCGGCCCGACAAACAAGAAAGTGATTTTTACGATAAATTAAATTAACATACGTACTATATTTCGATAATATCCCAGGCGAACATGAAAATTTATATCCCGGCCAAATTCAAATGTGAACAAGAAGAGAATAAATTCCGGCATCCCCTTAATTCACACATATGCTCAACAGTTTTCAACGTATACCATAACTTAGAGCACAAGGCGAGAGACTACAAAGTTCCGTCTACATAAATCTTTTTGAACGATGTTCTAGTAATTCGCACGTGTATACCGTATTCTTCTTAAAATGTTGGGCAATTTTCGAAATAATTCGATTCCGTCCCATTAACCGTAAGTTTTGCCTTGGCATAGTGTCGCCGGCATTATTATAAATTACGTTAGTTTATGCGAAATGAACGTCTACCATTCCGGGGCATAAAACCGCAGGGTATGTACAAGCCGCGAGAGAGGCCGCAAAACTTATTATAATTCCTTTTCATAAATAAAAATGTCGCTGTTGCGCCAAAGACATAAGAAAAATATTTGCATTTTGTATACCACTCTTTACAGTATAAATTTGTTTGTTTTAAGATATATTTTCATCTTATCATATTGCCTTGTCTTCTGGTTTCATAGCTGATATATTATCACGGATTCCAGGTTCACTGAAACTTACTTCACAAATAATAACAAGAAATCTCGCGGGTTTAAACTAAAATTTTTGTACCAGGATGGTCTGAATTTCTTGCCAGGTTGGTCTGGATTTTCTAGATTCCTTTAGATTTGAAACTCCATTCTTGATTCATTTTTCCAGGGAAATCAAGAGTTCTAGAAGTTCAAATTGTGATTATTACCGGCTCTTGATTCGTTGACACCATTCAGAATACCATTCGGCTTACAAAATGCACCGTCGACGTTCCAAAGGCTGATTGACAGATTCCATTCTGGCCTTCAGGATCTGAACAAACTTGCATATCTTGATGATCATTCCTTTCGAATCGAAAGTAGCGAGGGCGTTGAAGAGTCCAAAAGGCATTACCTAGAATTGGTATGGAGAGATGGTGAAACTACTCAAGTGGATGCTTATGTATTTTGTGTCAGAATCGCATTGGAAGGCAAAGTTCATCACACCATTCCTGAACATATCAACAGTAGGACCCTTCTAGGCACTGATTTTCTAAAATCTGCCACTATAGTGCTGGATACACCGAATGACTTATGGTTTTAAGGCGATGCTCCTGATCAAAAATATAAGTTGCTCGCACAGGAAATTAATAAAGAGTGTGAATTTCCTATATAATAAGGCTGACAGTGGACTACCGCAAGCTAAATGCTAAAACACGCCCACATCGATACCCATTGCCTAGGATCGATGCAGCAACGAGAACTTAGTACATGACAACCTTAGATTTGAGATCCGGTTATCACCAGATAACTGTTAAGCCTAGTGATAGAGACAAAACCAGTTTCATTTGTCCTTTTGGGAAGTTTCGTTACACACGAATACCATTCGGCTTACAAAATGCACCGTCGACGTTCCAAAGGTGGATTGACAGATTCCGTTCTGGCCTTCAGGATCTGAACATACTTGCATATCTTGATGATCATTCCTTTCGAATCGAAAGTAGCGAGGGCGTTAAAGAGTCCAAAAGGCATTACCTAGAATTGGTATGTGAAGATGATAATGATCAAATTTGACAATTAGAATATAATTCTGTTATCATTCCAAACTCAGTATCCAGAGAACATCCCTTTACGTCCGCGGATTCCGGGTTCACTTATTTAAACATACACAACAAATCTCGAATTTTAACTGAAACAAAACTTATTATTAGGTTGAGTAAACCATTTTCGAGTGCCAGGGAGTCCCATTGAGTCCACAACGTCTTAAAGGTGATATTTCTTACCAAGTTGCTCTGTATTTTCCGGATTCATTTAGATTTGAAACTGGCTTGATGTTACTATCTTGTAACTGGTCACTTCTAAACTCCATTCTTGATTCATTTTTCCACGGAAATCAAGAACTTTAGATGTTCAAATTGTGATTATTACCGGCTCTTGATTCATTGGGAATTTCAGGAAATGTTTCAAAAATTAATTTTCAATTTGGAGAGGAGTGAATTTAGTTAGTGATAGAGACAAAACCACTTTC